AGTAGCTGAAGATAAGATGACACTAGTTTGTGGTAGGAGTGGACATGAAAAAACATTACCAGCAGATCTGTACAGAAACTGAGATGGGCAAGAAGGCTGTGTGGCTAAAATTCCAAGAGTAGGATAGAGAGTAGTGTGAGATGAGCTATAAATAGATGAAGGCAAATTTATTCAGGCCTTTGTAGGGTGGGTCTTCAATAGCTGTTGGATAGGAACCCTCATCCATTGCTGGTGGGAAGGGAACATGGTACAGCCACTGTGGCAAGTAGTTTGGCAGTTCCTCAAAAACATGGAATGATCATTTGATCCAGCAGTCCCACTCTCAGGCTACCTGAACGTAGCAACTAGGCCAGTCACCTACACCAGTGTTCATTGCAACATTATTTACAATAGCCCAAAGATTGAAACAACCTAAGTGTCCATCAGCTGATGAATGGATAAACAGAATGTGGTCCATACAGACAAGGAAATACTACTCAGTAATAAAAATGAATGAAGTCCCATTGCATGGGACAGTACAACATGGATGAACTGTGACAGCATGCTGAGCGAAGTAAGTCAGGCACAAAAGGACAAATACTGTTATGATACATGAAATAAGCAAATCTATGGAAACCAAAACTAGTGGTTACCAGGGGTGGAAGGGAGAGAGAAAGGGGGGATATTTGCTCAAAGTGCATTGTGGGTATGTTAAAGGTGGGACAGTTTGGATAAAGTGAGAATGGTTGCACAACTTGAAAAATGTAATTAATGTCATTGAAGTGTATATGTAGAGATTGGTAAAATGTTTTATGTGTTCCTTTGTATGTATATTAACAATAAATAATGAAATAAAATTTTAAGTGCTATTAAAGGATTTTAAGGAGGTAAGTGATAAAGTTGTGTTTGTTGTCTGTATCAGCTGCCACAGGAAGTTCAAGAAATACTCAGGTATTAAGTATTCTGTACGATTGACTTTAGTGCATGTTCAAGCCCTTCAGAAGATCCATGAGGATCTTGAGATTTGAGCTTGGGTGTTGCATTTGTGTCGTTTTTTGTTCAATCAATTCCACCTAAGAAGGTTTTTTTTTCTTCTTTAAATTGTTTTTATTTTGTTGTTGAGAATATACACAGCAAAACATCAATTCAGCAGTTTCTACGTGGTCCATTTAGTGACACTGAATACATTCTTCAAGTTGTACAACCATTCTCACCCTCCAAAGGAGGAATTTTTACTGGTGTAGAGGAATCCAACTGATTTTTGG